AGGACACGGTGAACCAGATCTAGGAGTTTGTTTCCTGCCTCTTTAGGCTGTTCCTGTGTTGTGAGGAGACTTTGCTTGTTGGAGTGCTGGTGTCTGTTCCTGGCAGCAATGACAAGGCCGAGGGCAGGAACAAGGAGGTGTCTGGTACAAACCACTTGTCTGAAGTAAACAATGTCTTTTAGGACTTTCCTGGTACCTGAGGCACCTGCTGTTCAGATCTGCAGCAGACTTGCTGGTAAGGCTACAGTAGGACCTGTGAGCAGGATGGAGAGAGAAACACACATGAAAAATGGAAAAAGAGAGGCCTCGTCCACTTCTCCTCAGCAATTGGGACCACACTGGGGCAGGCTGGGCAGGAATGGCCTGGAATGATGTGACAGGGTTATACTGTGTGGCTGAACCTCTGTGTCTGCATTTTCCAGCCCACTGAAAGCTGAGGTGAAGCAGTGAGAAGTGGCAAAGCTGCAAATTGCAAGTCAGCCCCAGCAAGAGCTGCATTTTAAAAATGTGCTTCTAACATTTTCCTTGCCAGCAGCAGTAAGTTGCTTGGCTGGGAAGAGGAATAAAAACATCTTTTGTCTGTGTAAAATTCGGGTTAGGAAACTTGCAAGTATTCCTTGGCTTTTTATTAGAAGCAATGACAAATGTTGAGCTGCTGTGTTGTCTGTCTCGGCTGGCGGGAAACTTCCGCGCCGAGTGCACGGAGCTCCGTGCCTGGCCGGTAGCCCTGCACACGCCATGCGGGACCCCGCTCGGCTCGGGGGCTGCTGCAGGCACTGTGCAGGACGCCGCGCCGGCCCAGCCTCCGCGCCGCGCGCGCGGTTTTGGACCCCAGGCAAGGCTGCGGCAGGAGAAAGGAGAGAGAGGGGGAGCCTTGCCAGCGAGCACTGCACCCCCGTGGAAGATGAGAGCGCAGCTTCGGAGCACACAGAGGTTTGCCGTTCCAGGTTTGGGGAGGGAGGGAGAGGGGGAGGGGGACGGAGCAGAGGGAAGGGTGTTGAGCTGGCCGTGGGGGTCCTTCGACTGGTGGGTGGGAGAGCAGGGCTGTCCCGTATGAAACATCACATCACATGTGAGCAGTGCGCCTGGAATTTGTGGTAACATAGTGGGGGAAGGATAAGGTCTGGGTGGACAGAGGGTTCTTTTGATTGATGGGGGTCCCGGCCAGGCTGGGGCCTTGTAAGGTACCTCAGCCTTGGACAGGTACGGGGGCCAGAACGGTTTGTCGGTTTGTTTGTTTGTTTGTCTATTTATTTCTTTCGTTTTGGCTCTCCTGCGGCTACTGCCCAGGTTCGGCATGTTCTGGATATATTTGCTTTGCTCTGTTACAACCTGAAAGAGTGGGCAGGACAAAGGGTTGTTACTGGAAATAAAAGACTTGCCCAAATCGTTCTAACAGGAACGTAGCCTATGTACCCCTATGTGGTTGCGAGCTATGCTGGCGAGGGTTCATGCCTTCGGTAGGGTCGCCCATGCCAGACAGGTCAAAACCATAGGACCAGATAAACTACATCCCTGGGCAGGATGAGCTCATTAGCCTTCTGGCAGTCATCCTAGGAGAAGGACAACTCTCATCCCAAACCCGGGCAGATGGAGCTCGCTTAGCCCTGTAAGGCCATCCATCTCAGAGAAGGTCACTCTAATCAAACCTACGTCCTGAGGACCTCGCTGCCACCGTCCAAGCTTGCTCGGCCCTGGCAGATGAACCTCAGGATTAAAGGGTGGGTTCAGTTCCGCGCATACTGCATCTCACCTAAAAAATCCATTGCGCAGGCTTGAAGGCTTTACCCACATGCAAAAAGTCCTGTAGCGACGGGCGAGGGTCGAAACGGCAGGTGAAAGATGCACTGGGAGCCGCAGACTCAACCCTGCATTGCAGGCGGTTCAGGATATTGGTCATTTGAGACTGACGGAGATGAGAGTCTCTTGGGGCTGCACCCTGAACGACCAAGCAGCCTTTTCAAGGACAGCACTGCTTGCTCCACTCGGAGAGGGGCCTAGAAAAGGTGGCCTAAACAAAGCTCATCTCCACCTTCACCCGGTTGGTTAACCGCAGACCGACGGGCATCTTCTTCCAATGCGGTCGCACAAAGAGCAAAAGACAAAGGCATGCACCTGCCTCCAAAGGTGTACCCAAATTAACTCTAGCATGTTGGAACATCAGAACCATGCTCGACTCTGCCAATAGTGGACGTCCTGAGCGACGTTCTGCCCTAATTGCCCATGAACTGGCTCGTCTCAACATCGACATTGCTGCTCTCAGTGAAGTTCGCCTTCACGAGGAAGGCAGCCTCAGAGAACATGGTGCCAGTTACACACTCTTTTGGTCAGGTAAGCCCAGAACCGAAAAACATCTCTCAGGTGTCGGCTTCATGATCAAAAACTCCATTGTCCCTAAACTCGAAAATCTGCCGACAGGTCACTCTGACCGCATTCTCTCCCTACGCCTTCCACTAAACAACAAGCATCACGTTGTCATCTTTAGTATATATGCCCCAACTCTCCAAGCGGACCCTGCTGAAAAAGATAAATTTTACACTGACCTGCGCTGTCTTACCCAAAAGGTGCCCGCACATGATAAGATCATTATCCTTGGTGATTTCAACGCCAGAGTAGGTAAGAATTTTGAAGCCTGGAAAGGAATATTAGGCAAGCATGGCGTTGGAAACTGCAACGATAATGGTCGACTTCTGCTAGAATTCTGTGCAGAGCAACAGTTCACCATCACCAATACTATCTTTCAGCAGAAAAATAGTCTGAAGACAACCTGGATGCACCCCAGGTCTAAGCATTGGCACCTCATTGATTATGTCTTGGTGCGACGCAGAGATGTCCGCGATGTCCTCCATACCCGCGTGATGCCCAGCGCAGAATGTCAAACAGACCATCGGCTTGTGCGCTGTAAACTCAACCTTTATCTCAAATTCAAACCCAAGAGGGGCAGTATCCCAAGGAGAAGACTCCAAGTTAACGATCTCCAATCAGCCACAGTAAGAGAAAGATTCCAGGCAAACCTTCAAACCAAGCTTGATAACCATTCCACAGATTCTGCAATTTCCTCTCCCGAAACAATTTGGCAGCATATTAAAAGTAGCATCCTGCAATCCTCTGAAGAATCCTTAGGGTTCTCCCTCAAGAAGAACAAGGACTGGTTTGATGAAAACAATCAAGAGATCCAGGAATTGTTGAGGAAGAAGAGAACCGCCCACCAAGCACACCTTGCACTGCCATCCTGTCACGCTAGAAAAACAGCCTTTCGTCTTGCTTGCAGCAAGCTCCAACAGAAACTCTGTGACATCCAGAACAAATGGTGGACCGATCTAGCTGCAAAAACTCAACTATGTGCAGATACAGGGGATCACAAAGGATTCTATGAGGCCCTGAAAACAGCATACGGGCCTACATACCAGGTCCAAAGCCCTCTACTCAGTGCAGATGGTCAAACGCTTCTCACAGATAAAACCTCCATTCTGAATTGATGGTCTGAACACTTTCAGACTCATTTCAGTACCAACCGTGCAGTTCAAGACTCAGCAATTCAGTCCATCACACAACAACCAGTGAAGAATGAATTGGATACTGCCCCTACTAGGGGAGAAACCCTTAAGGTCATACAGCAGGTGATAATCGGCAAGGCAGCTGGGGTTGATGGAATTGCACCTGAAGTCTGGAAGCATGGGGGCCAAGCACTCCACACTAAATTCCACAAGTTTGTGGTGTGCTGTTGGGAACTAGGCCAACTACCATCAGACCTTGGTGATGCAGTCATCATCATCTTGTATAAGAAGAAAGGAATTAAATTAGACTGCTCAAACTACTGGGGTGTTACTCTGCTCTCCATTGCTGGAAAAATCCTAGCAAGAATACTTTTGAACAGACTAATACCTGCTAGAGCAGAAGAACTTCTTCCTGGAAGCCAATGTGATTTCAGAGCCAACAGGGGTACCACAGACATGGGATTTGTTCTCAAACAACTGCAAGAGAAGTGCAGGGAACAGAACAAAGGTCTCTATGTAACCTTTGTTGATCTCACCAAGGCTTTCGATACTGTGAGCAGAAAAGGTCTGTGGCAGATTTTGGAACGTTTAGGTTGTCCCCTCAAGTTCCTTAAAATGATCATCTCACTCCATGAGGATCAGCACGGCCAAGTCAGATACGGTGATGCACTTTATGAGCCCTTTCTAATCTCCAATGGTGTGAAACAAGGCTGCGTTCTTGCACCAACCCTATTCACAATCTTTTTCAGCAGGATGCTTCAAAGGGCCACGGCAGACCTCGATGAAGAAGGTGGGATCTACATCCGATATCGTACCCATGGAAGCCTATTCAACCTAAGGCGACTGAAGGCCCACACCAAGACCTTAAACCATCTTGTCCAGGAGCTGCTTTACGCTGACGACGACGCCCTCGTCGCTCACACAGAAGCAGCTCTGCAGCGTTTAACATCCTGCTTTGCTGAGGCTGCTGAGCTCTTTGGGCTGGAAGTCAGCTTGAAGAAGACAGAAGTTTTCTATCAGACTGAGGAGGGGGCCTTTGCCCACGTGGATGATGACTGGAAATACGACACCCATGGAGACCTTTCCCAATGCGCAGATGTTACCGCATGGGAAGAAGACGTGACACTGCAAGAGCTCTACCCATGGGAAGAAGAAGTGAGAGTCCAACGATGTTCCCAACGGGGAGCCAGAAGACACCGAGAGCTCTACGAATTTGAAGAAGAGGTGAGAGTCCGAGAACTTTCCCAATGGCGGGATGGGAGACACCCAGAGCTGTACCAACGGGAAGAAACCGTGAGACGCCAGGAGCTGTACGAATGGGAAGAAGATGGTGTGAGATCCCACGAGCTGACCCGATGGGAAGAACGTGTGACAGTGCAAGAGGTGTCCCAAAGGGAAGAAGAAGAGACATATCAAGAGCTGTCCCAATGGGGAGATTTGAGAGGCCAAGAACTTTCCCAATGGGGAGATGTGACAGTCCGAGAGCTGTCCCAGCGGGAAGGTGAGAGATCCCATGACCTGCCTGAGTGGGAAGAAGATGTGCAAGGGCATGGACTGTACCAATGGAAAGACAAGAGAGCCCCAGAGCTCTCCCAAGTGGGAGACAAGACAGACAAGGAGCAATCTCAGGAAGAAGACTCCAGTGCCCAAGAGCTGCCCCAAAGGGAAGATGGGAGTGAGAAAAAGCTGTCCCAGTGGGGAGATGATGTTGGTTACAGCACCTGGGACAAACCCTGGCACCCGGTGAACGCTGGGGACCCCCAGACTGTTCCCCAGGAGGGGCCCAGCTCTGCCAGCAGCGTGGGCACAGAGGTGGCAGCAGAGGCAGCCCGTGACCTGCCCAGTCCAGCTCCTGCCCCGGTGAGTGCCACGGACGCCGAGCCGGCAGCTGCTGCCCCGGCCGGAGCTGCTGAGGAGGAGGAGCCCCAGGGGCCTCTGGCTCCTGAGGAAGAAGAGGCAGAAGGTTCTGCAGCCTTCGGAGAGCAGGTGCCATGGGCAGGGACACAGAGCCTGGTCCCTGCCCCACACAGCCCCTCAGAGGGCAGCGAGGCCCTGCTGGACACAAAGCAGTCCATCACATGTGGGATCGTGAAGAAGGCTGAGCTTGTGATCCAGGGATCCAGCCAGGAGCCGGAGGAAGAGAGAGACCTGGAACAAACCATGGATACAGACATGGTCCCAACACTTACAGCAGAAAGGACAGAGAGTCCAGACCCTGCCCCGCAGAGCCCCCCAGACAGCACCCAGGATCTGCTGGACATGGCCTTTTACCTCTTCAGGGAGATCATGAGGAAGGCCGAGCGTGTGCTCAGCTGCTGGCCGGAGGAACAGAGGGTCCCAGAAAGAAGCACAGCTACAGAAATGATACCAACAATTCCAGCAGAAAGGACAGAGAGCCCGGTCCCTGCCCCACACAGCCCCTCCGAGGGCAGCAAGGCCCTGCTGGACACAGACCAGTCCATCACCCATGAGATCCTGAGCGAGCCTGAGCTTGAGATCCAGGGATCTCACCAGGAGCCGGAGGAACAGAGAAACCTGGAACAAACCATGGATACAGACACGGTAACAACAGTTCCAGCAGAAAGGACAGAGAGCCCGGTCCCTGCCCCACAAAGCCCCTGCTCCCCCAGCAGCCCCTCACCTTCCCAGGTGAAAGCCCAGGCCCTGAACGAGCAGGAGGAGGGAGCAGGAGGGGACTCAGTCCTGGCAGTGCAAGACACTGACGAGGGGCCCTTCCCTGGGGAGGGCATAGACTGGAAATACTACGTTGACCAAGACATTTCCCAGTGGGAAGATGAGGGAGACCAAGAGTTGTCCCAAGAAGACATCAGCACATACCAAGAAATGTCCCAGTGGGAAGAGTGCATTGAGCAGGAGCTGTCCCCGGGAGAAGTCAAGAGCTCCCAGGAATTGTCTGAGTGGGAAGAATACGGCGAGGAAGAGGAGCCCCAAGGAGAAGTGAAGAGCTACCAAGAGGTGTCCGACTGGGAAGAAAACCTCGAGCAAGAGGAGTCCCAAGGAGAAGAGAGTAGCAGCCAAGTGTCCAACTGGGAAGAATACAGCGAGGAAGAGCTGTCCCATGGAGGAGTGAAGAGCTACCAAGAAGTGTCCGACTGGGAGGACTCCAGTGAGGAAGAGCAGTCCCAAGGGGAAGGCAGTAGCTACCAAAAACTGCCCGACCAGGAGGAATACAGGGAGGAAGAGCAGTCCCAAGAAGTCAAGAGGCACAAAGAACTGTCCGACTGGGAGGACTCCAGCGAGGAAGAGCAATGCCACGGAAAAGGCAGTAGCTCCCCAGAAGTGACCGACTTGGAAGAATGCAGCATGAAAGTGCAGCCCCAAAGAAAATTCAGTAACTACCAAGAACTCCTGTCCGACTGGGAGGACTCCATTGCCCAAGAGCTGTGCCAGGATGAAGACTCCTTGGGCCAGGACTTTTCCGCCTGGGAAGACTACACACCCTCCTGGCTGTCCCGATGGGAAGATGGCAGCGACAGAGAGCTGGCACTGGTGGACTGGGAACACAGGAGCGTCCCCAGCTTGGGGGTGAAGGCCTTGCTCCCGGAGGAGGATGAGTGGGAGGAACTGAGCGTGCTGGAGCTGTCCCAAGGCCAAGGCCCAGAAGACAGGCTGGGAATTCTTGCAGCAGAGGGGCTCCCAGTGCCCGTCCCTCGCCAGGCATGGGCTGAGCGCCGGGCACCTGCCCCGTGCACACAAGTGCCGCTCTGCACCTCACCTCCCCAGCTGGAAGCCCTGTCCCCCGCAGGGACTGAAGCTTCTCCTGCCTTCGGAGAGCAGGTGCCATGGGCAGGGACACAGAGCCAGGTCCCTGCCCCACGCAGCCCCTGCTGCCCCCCCAGCCCCTCGCCTCCCCAGCTGGAGGCCCAGGCCCTCAGCAGCCAGCTGGCTCAACCCACCAAACGTCTCTCCCGCTTCAGGCGGGCGCTCGGGGCTCTGCGCAGGCTGTTCTGCTCCTGCACGGCGGGACAGCCCCAGGATTAGGCCCCGCTCCAGCGCCAGGCCGGGCCTGGACACCTCTTCACTGACACCACCACCAACGTGCAACATTTATTTCTATACCTGACTACTCCTGCAGGGAATGAGCAAAGACAGGACCTCTTGCTCCCAGAAACTCCCTGCAGGATAACAACATACACGATTATTGCCAAACAAACAAAAGATAGCTTAAATCAATTAACTACTTTAATTTAATAATTAGGCTAGTTAAGCAACTAAGTAATTTAATTAATAAGTACTATAATATGTAGTTATAATATTTAGACTGTTTCAGATTTACTTTGAAGATAGAGTTACATAAGATAGATAGAGTTACATAGGATAGATATACTATATTTACATATTATAATATTTACTATATTTATAGGGCACATAGATAGATGCTTGCAGTTAGATTATAGGAATAAGACACAAGATATAAGATTAGGAAGATTGCCTGTAGTTTCCCTTTAAGTACCCTTTACCTCTACCTACCTCTTTAACTCACATTTATTGTTAAATAAAATATGTATTATATAAAATCCTGCTGTTGTTGGCCATTGGTCTCATTTACACCTGAATTCGGGCTGGGGCACCTCTCCCTAATCAGATCAGAACACACGGGCAGGGACACCTTCCCCCACACCAGCTGGCTCCAACCCCGTCCAACCCGGCCTTGGACACTTCCCGCCATGGGGCAGCCACAGCTTCTCTGGGCAACCTGAGCCAGGGCCTCACCTCCCTCCCAGGGAACAATTTCTCCCCAAAAGTCTCATCTCCCAGAGGGTCTGGGGTGCCATTGCCAAGTGCAGCTCCAGACATTGCAGCCCCTCCATTCCATCCAGTGCTCACAACAGTGTCCTGCACACTCGCACGCTGCCCCCACACTCACACGCTGCACAGGGCACCGGGGGGCTACAGCGGTGGTTTCTGTCAGAAGGTACTGGAAGCTTCCCCCATGTCCAACAGGGCCAGTGCCAGCCGGGTCCA